TCTCTCTGGTTTATTATCTAGTACAGTGGATTCCAGAGTGTGGGTCGAATTAATAACAGAAATTCAGTTTGAAATCACTCAAGTATTTATAGTTACATATTTGTATTAATGAATTTAATTATATCAAAATGAATTAAAAACTGGAAATATGAGGTTTGTTATATTAATCATTACACTGACCTTAATTTACTCCTCTTGTACTGAAGTTTGTGTCACTTTGCATGTGATTGGGTAGCATTAGCAATTTATAGCCAACAGCCTGTGTTGTTTAAGTTTTTGAAGGAAATACGCCACTGTGTCTTTTATTTTGATTAGAGTGGAGATTTAAGATTTGGTGGGCCCTGTCAGAATTCCTGGTTTTCAAGTGGGCCACAGCACTCTTGACTTTAGGATGGCCTTTCTAGTAAATTAATTACCAGGAACATCCACAATTTGTAATTTGTAGCCTGCAGCTAGTAAAGTCACATCAGTAAGCTGTAGAGCAATAAAAAGCCAAGAGCCTCACCTTTGGGTTGTACTCTGCATTTCTGGCTCTCAGGGCAATGGTCTTCAAATCCAGTTTACAGCCTAAGTTTACAGTAGATACTATATTTCTAAAAGTGAAGAGGAGAAAAGAACAAGAGAAAACAACTGAGTGAAGGACATACAAACAATTAAAATTTTAATTCCCTTAAAGTACAATTTGGTTCAATATATGTGCAGGAATTTCTTTCCTTTTAAAGCAGTTATCACCAAAAATGGGGGTGGGTGGGATGAGATGTGAAACATACTGTAGCTGCGGTACTATGCCAGAGGTTTCTGAAGCAGGGGTGGCCGGCGTGATGGGGGTCATGGGGGTTAGCGGGGTGGTAAAGAGGGGGGTGTTTCCTGGCAGTGCAGTTGTGGTCGAGCCTCCCACTGCCTGGGAGTGGAAAAGTTGAGGGGTCTGCCCCGACGTCCCTGCGAAGGAAAAAAATAAAGTGGTTATTTATGTGTAACCGGAGATTAACTTCCACCACGGAACCAAGATTTCTCATAATAAATGTGGAAGATGAAAAAATGACAGCTTGTGGAGTACCTGAGCTGGCCTGTTGTGCCTGTTGCTGCTGTTGCTGAGCCTGCTGTTGCCTCTGCTGTTCCTCCAGTATTGACAAACTGTTGGTGTTCTGCACTGGCTGGGGTGTCAGACCAGAGCCGTATGGCATCATGGGGCTGAAGAGCGGCATCCCTGGGGTCATGGCTCCCTGCATGGGGATAAAGCAAAAAGAAGGGCGTAATGAAGCAGTGTTAGTATTCTTGTTTTTAGGTTTGACTCTTCTCTTTACACAAATAAAACGAAAAATCTAAATGACAGCAGTCTCTCCACTGACTTTAAACCCATGAAGAATATGTCGGTTCTGTTGGAAGTACAGCCATTTCCGACCAGTGAAAGAACAGAAAAGATCACAACTGTGACAGCTCAAGGTGTCTTTTTTTTTTCATGAAATAAAGATGTAACTTAAGAAATAAATCATATTTAGTAAGGTTGGATATAAAAAAAATTTCCAAACGACAATCGTCGGCCCGATAAATAACGATATGCAATATATTCACGCAGGTGCAGGCTTTTTGATGGACGGAGCAATGTAATATAATCTGATTTTTGCATTTAGAATTCATATGTTTTGTTTGGCGGGAATAGTTCAACTTCTTTTCTTGTTTGTTTCAGTATTATTATAGCTACTTTTTGGATTACATTCTTTACAAATTATTTTAGGTCTTCCTCGCCGTCTCTTTCCATTCTTCGAGACGGCGAGGAAGACCTAAAATAACATGGAGGAGGACTTTCCTTGAAGATTTACGTTCAGTCGAACTGTCATGGGATGAAGCAACAACTGCCGCGATAGACCGAGTTCAATGGCGTTCTCTTGTCGCCCAATGCGCCAATCGGTGCAGGAGGATCTAAGTCTAAGTAAGTTTGGATTATTAGCCAGTATCTCTGTTTCCCTTCCCACAATTGTGTGTGTTTTTTTTTTTTTAATTTTAAATATGTTTGTTTGTTTTTTCTTCTGAACATAGGCTACTGCCTTTCTTTCTTTCTATTATGAGTTTGAGTAAATGAATCGCTGCATTTGGCCGCACTCTGAGGAGGGTGCCGTTAAATTATTTTTTCCGTTGACTGCTTGTCTTAGCTTTAACCAACATCATTAGCAAACTTACTCATAGGCAAATAAATAAATCATTCTTGTAAAAATGATCGGTGAAAGGCTCAGCCTATCGTCAATAGTCAATATATTCGTCCAATCACCCAGCCTTAATATTTAGTAACACATAAGATGATTTAAGGGATGTTGACACAGGGAGGAAATTACTCATCATCCATCACTTTGTCGCTAATGGTTCATCACTGGAAAGCAGGCTCCAGTTCCATAAGTAACATACATTCATCAGCAGTATCCCTCATTCTCATTGGGAGTCACTTAAATCAGTCACCTCAAATTTGAGAAACGTAAAACTTTGTGTCCACCCACTTTGCATCACCAACACCTATTTCACACTGTATCGATTTAAGTCTTTGAATATCCCTGATTTTATATGGTCTTAGGTCATCACAGTTATTCACTTCCTGCAGGGAATGGCTCCAGACCTTTTCCCTTCACCACTGATTTTCAATCCAGTTCTTGTGTAATTTGTTGTAGCATTTCCCCCTCCAATTTCCCTTTCTTAAGAAAGGCTTCTTGACCATAATTGTTCCACTGAGACCATTTCTGATGAGGCTTCAGTATACAGCAGATGTATGAATGAAGTGAAGCACCAGACACAACACTGGTACATGCCTTGAATTAGGTACCTTTTTAATGCTTTAATGACTCATACGTCATTTTAAGTGGTTTAACAAACAAAAAGATTCCTATGAAAACAGGGACTGAACTGAAAATGTGGAGAAAAGCACCCATTTTTAAAAACTTTAGAAAGCCTGAAGAACTATTGTTTAAGACCACTTCAAAAAAATAGAAGAAAACTTGGCTCCTTGGATGTATAAATATAAAGAAACAACGGATGGCTAAATCTGTGACTTAATTTCCAAAAAGCCTTAATGATGAAACACAAAGCCCATGTTACCTGAGGGGAAGCCACCAACCCTTGGAAGGCTGGTATGCTGTTGTTCTGGTCCATCCCTTTAGATTCCCACGTTACTTCACTGCCACCCAGTAGAAGGCAGTAAAAGCGTGATAACTAACCCAGCAGGGCTCTTTAAACCTCCAGCCTACAATGTCAAACACCAGACGCAAACACTGCAGACTCTTCTTTTTAACCCCCGGCAGTAGCGTCTTGGCTGAAAAGATGACAAGAAGCACACTTTACTTAGATAAAACTCAAACAAAGTGGTGTAAACAACATGCAAATGAATGAAACCAAAATCGTGCAGCAGCAAGCGGTGGCGCGAACTCATTTAAATAACTTTAACCTTTTCTAACATTACTTTAACTCTCTCGTTCATATCTTGCCCAGTACATGAGATGTCCTTTAACCAGTTAAGCGTGCAAAATGCCGCTAATAAAGTTACCAAACATTCCTCGCACAAAATGAAACGTGTAAGCACACGGGCTAGCTGAAGTTAGCGGCAGTTAGCATTAGCAAATTTAGCAATCATGAATCTGCAAGCTAAACGTTTAAAAATTTCGGATTTATGCTGTAAAAACAACTGCAAATAACTCGGAAATCTGTCAGCATGAACCAGAAAATCATTCTTTAGCTTACAATCAAGGTGTCGCTGTTAAAATCAACACACGAACAGCATAAATTCAGCTCTAGCTCCGTAACTACCCCGGACTTGTTCTTGGGCGCTCACGACCTACTTCCGGAAGCTTCTTCTTCTTCCGTCGTGTCACAGTTCACCGCAGACACAGCAAAGATGGCGTCGCTGAGTGACAAATCAGTTTGGGACGAAGTGGAGGATGGGATCGGCGAAGAAGTGTTAAAAATGTCCACAGAGGAGATAGTTCAGCGCACTCGTCTCCTCGACAGTGAGATAAAGATAATGAAGAGCGAAGTGCTGAGAGTAACCCACGAGCTTCAGGCTATGAAGGATAAAATTAAAGAAAACACGGAGAAGATAAAGGTGAACAAAACGCTGCCCTACCTGGTGTCTAACGTGATCGAGCTGCTGGATGTGGACCCCAACGACCAGGAGGAGGACGGGGCTAACGTGGACCTGGACTCCCAAAGAAAAGGAAAGTGCGCAGTTATCAAAACTTCAACCCGGCAGACCTACTTCCTGCCGGTAATCGGGCTGGTGGACGCCGAGAAGCTAAAACCGGGAGACCTTGTAGGTGTTAACAAAGACTCCTACCTGATCCTGGAGACCTTACCAACCGAGTATGACTCCAGAGTCAAGGCCATGGAGGTGGATGAGCGCCCCACAGAGCAGTACAGCGACATTGGAGGTCTGGATAAGCAGATCCAGGAGCTGGTGGAGGCGATAGTGCTGCCGATGAACCACAAGGAGAAGTTTGAAAACCTGGGCATCCAGCCCCCAAAGGGAGTCCTCATGTATGGACCCCCTGGCACCGGGAAGACCCTACTGGCCAGGGCATGTGCCGCTCAAACCAAAGCCACATTCCTGAAGCTTGCAGGTCCACAGCTGGTGCAGATGTTCATTGGAGATGGTGCCAAGCTGGTGAGAGATGCCTTCGCCCTGGCTAAAGAGAAAGCCCCATCCATCATCTTCATAGATGAGTTGGACGCCATTGGAACCAAGAGGTTTGACAGTGAGAAGGCTGGAGACAGAGAGGTGCAGAGGACCATGCTGGAGCTGCTCAACCAGCTGGATGGATTTCAGCCAAACATGCTGGTCAAGGTAAATTTGCCTGTTTACTCTTGAATACAGCAAAAGTGCACCACAATTCTGCTACCACTTCACTGTTATTTAATGTTCAATACTGATAAAACATTTTAAACTGCATCTGAGTAGATCTGAGGCACCTAAAGCGAATTTGTACAACAATTCATTAAGAAAAACGTTAAAATTTCGTCAATATCCAAACCCCCACATTAATACTTTATGATGACTGGAGTTTATTGCAATGATACTGTCTTTATTATTTAGGTGATTGCTGCCACCAACAGAGTGGACATCCTGGATCCTGCCCTGCTCCGTTCAGGTCGTCTGGACAGGAAGATCGAGTTCCCCATGCCAAACGAAGAGGCCAGGGCTCGCATCATGCAAATTCACTCTCGTAAGATGAATGTCAGCCCCGACGTCAACTATGAGGAGCTGGCCCGCTGCACCGACGACTTCAACGGCGCCCAGTGCAAAGCTGTGTGCGTGGAGGCCGGTATGATCGCGCTGCGCCGCGGAGCCACAGAGCTGAACCATGAGGATTACATGGAGGGAATCCTGGAGGTCCAAGCTAAGAAGAAGGCTAACCTTCAGTACTATGCCTGAGGACACTACCTGTGTCTGTGTATTTGTGTGTGAGAGTCTTTGATTATTATTAAAAGCTGTTAAGAAAACACATGTTATGATTTCTGATTATCTTGAGTCAATAAAATAAATAAAATGCCTCGAGTATCTTTTGTTATTTCCTCTAATAATCTTAAAAAATAATGTAAGGGTACCTGGTGCTATTTAGAAGCTGCACATCTGGAATTGCATAGTAGTCATAAATTTATTCTTAACTTAAAGCAGTAAAAGAAAGTTAAGAATAGATGGCAGGGTTCAACATACAGTTGTGGTCAAAACACACACACACTAATATTTCGTTTAATGTTCTTTAGTATAAATTCTGGGGGAATGGTAGAGTTCATTTATATTGGTTTCCGGTCAATTGACTTGGCTGTTAAGCATAGTCCAGAAATTTTCAAAAGGGTTGAGACTGGAGTTTTGGAAAGGCCATTTCAGAAGCTTAGCATTAGCCTGTTTTATCCTTTCCTGAATCCGTTTTAACACGTTTGGGATCATTGTCCAACTGTCTCCAAGTTTCAACTATTTTGCTGTTAATCTAAGGTGAAGTGGAAGAATTTGGAGGTAGTCCTTCATTATTCCAACAATTTTGTACAGTCAACCCCCGTATTCCCCGGGGTTAGGCACCACAACTCCCTATGAATATCTGAAATCCACAAATACTCAGTACCCCCTCTAAAGATGCTTATAACTACCCATTTCAATCTTTTTGGGATCTTTGTGTTTGGAATTTGCGCATCTTTTGTTGAGAAAAAAAAAATCAATTTTAATGATCCTTTGCTGTGTTTACATTAATATTCAAATTTGAAAAGTAAATTTTTTTTATCATAAAAAATATATTTAGTCAGAAAAATTACATAAAAAATCCATGAAATAATCTGCAAGTATTTTGGAGTTGCTTTCCACAGAAAAATCCATGAATACCGAACCCTGGATCGACGGGGATCGACTGTATACCATAAGTGGAAGAAAATGGATGGATCAATGAATACATGCTGACTTCACATTTTAGATTTTCTTATTTTCTTTTCCTATACACACTTGTTCTGATCACGACATGAGTCATGCTTTTAATTCGACAACCATATAGACACACACTGAGCGCTCCAACTGTTCTACAGCCACACAACCCTTTTATACATCAACCTACGATGATGATGTCATACATTTCCTTGAAATACTTTAAGTACTTAATGTGACAAGCTCAGTTTTTACAATTTGGCCCTTGTCAAAGTTGACCTAACTCCTTTTACTAGTTTCAAGCACATCAGTTTCAATAGCTGACTGTTGACTGGGTGCCTCATTTATTTTAATATTATACAGTCACATGAGATCACTTGGGTTGTACATAGCCAACAAACTAAAATGATTTTAATCCACTGATGATGTGTATGAATTATTTATGCCTAATATGCTAACCGATGGTTCTAAATGGAAAAAGCGAAACAAAACAAAACCAAACCAAAAAAAACAATTTTATTATTTAACAAGATATTGTATTAAGATACTGTTTTCATTTGTATTCTTTTGGTCATAAAAGACATGCACAGAGGTCTATCTGAGGTGGAATGTGCAATGAACAAGCAGAGCAGACTTTTAAATTCTTTACATTTATTAAGAATGTAAAAAGAATAGCAGAGAGGATCTCCTTTGAAAACATAATGAAAAATCATAACAGAGGCAGGGTCTAGGTATGGGCGAGTGAAGAACTTACTTCTCAGAATAGGAGTGCTGATCCAGGATCAGCCTGCCAGACCACATAAAAGAGCATGTGAACAGGAGAACTGGAGTATCTGGGAAACGGTGGGAAGGAAACTAGCTCCCCAGTTAGCCACTAAGGTGGCTACTTGAATCAACACTCCTGTTTTGAGAAACCTGACGTAAAGGTGCCAAAGCCATAAAATGAATGTGCACCAAACAGAAAAACTAGAGGCAGATGGAAACAATACATTTCCTCCTCAGTCTTTCCTCAGAGGTATATTCTCCTCATTAATGCCCTCCTTAGTGATGACACAGATCCGAAGAGCATCTCCGGTGTAGACGTCTCTCTCTGCGGCTGAGATGAAGACGTCTTTGACCAGCTGAACTGCCTTATCCTTAGTCAGAGGAACATGCTCGACACTCTCCATGTTCTTGAAACCAATCTGTGGAGAGAGAGAGAAGACCGAGTCCTGTATTTGTCTGTTCTCAGTAAAATTTGTTTAGTTGATTCTTTGTTTAGAAAGGACCCAAGCACAAAAAAAAATCTTGAGCGAGCGAGCGAGAGAGAGAGAGAAACGGGTCCACCCTTACCATCCACCAGGTCACCAGCACCCTGTTTAGAGTTAAGTTCAGGTTTGCCTTTATACAGAATTTTTATTTTTTCCATATGGCATACCTCAATGCAGGTCTTATAACAGAATAACTGGAAGGTCGGGATTCTGAAACGTAATATGTGGCTACGAAGTGGTTTGTCATAACCTGGTGGATGCTGGGAGGCTAAATAAGCTTAAAAATACACACCCAAGATACAAGCACGTGAATATAGTAATGTTAATATGGAAACATCAGGTTAGTACACGCGCGTTTTAAAAAACCTGGTTATCTAGTAGTGGCTGTAGCATGGCGCTGGCTGATCCTCCGGCCTTGTAGGTGTCTCTCTGGTAGGAACCCACTGGGTCAAAGCTGTACACTGCTCCCTTACCTGTATTACAATTACACAATATTACAAACAGAAACAGGCTTTTACATACAGTAACACAGTAAAATCTTAATAGTTTTAAACATAACACAAACTAACACAAGAATAACATTAAAAATAACACCTCAAGCACCCAGCACTACACTACACATGAATTATTTTATTTTTTGTAGACTGTCACCTCTTTGGGATCACTGTCATTTTTTTTTTTTTTTTTGGGGGGGGGTTGTTGCCCGTTTGTTCTTATTATTTTGTGCATGTTGTCATTAGATTATAGTGGTGGATTAGAGAGAATAATAATAAAGTTGTTAAATATGAACACTAAAGTAAGTAAACCTTCAAGTTTTGGTTAAAAAAGTTTGATCGGATCAAAACCTCCCTCCTTCTTTGTCTATCCTGCAAGACATTTTCATTTATCAGCTTAACTGAGAGAGTAAAAACTTATGTAACTGTATCCTGTACCTTTTACCCAGTTCATTAGCACAAATTCAGAGTTCAACACATGCTGTTAAAATCCAGTAAGCCTGCCAAACAGTGGACTGCTCCAAAAATGCCTTTAGAATAAAAGTATGTTGTTTTCTCTGTGATCCTTCCTGACATTTTTACCGGACTAAAATTTCTGAGTGTTAGACTATGTGCCAGGTAAGTTCACACACAAGTGGATGAAGGCTCCCAAGTTCTTGTTATTGTAACCCATCTTTCATGGGTATGTATGCTAAGAGAGGTCTGATAT